AAAAAAAAAAAAAAAAAAAAAAAAAAAAAAAAAAAAAAAAAAAAAAAGCCAAAGATTCTTACTCTGAACGATTTGCATTTTCAGACTGTATTCTAGAAAAAAAGTCCTCAGTTTGAGCTTTGAATTCAGGAGAATTAATGTTTTGATATGAAAAACCAGAGTCGCCACTCTGATATGAACAATTACTGTTACTGTAGTCTTTTTTACTACCAACGTAAGTTGATGTGAAGTCTTTAGCGCTGGACCTGCTAGGACTCCAAGGCTCTCCACGCGCCAGGGTATTGATCTGCAAATTATGAGTGATAAATTAATATGAAAGGGCTTTAATAGAAAAGATAAAAAATAAAATAAGCAAAAAAAATTTACTTTGTCTCTGTATAAGGCAGCAGCCTTGGTATTGTATTTTTGCGTTATACTCATGGAATCATCCCAGTCGGGCTGAGATTCAAAAAATAATCTAGCATTTCTATTTCCTCCGACTTTCATTTTTTCTAATTCAATGTCCTTCCACTTGTCCATTGAAACAGATCGGACAAAGGATAAATGCACTCCCAGACCTCTATGCTTACCTGAGCACTCCAAGCATATCCAGATACCATATGTAACTGAGACCCACTGTGGATTGTGAGCTCCACATTCATAGCATTTCTGTAAAACAGAGAAAAAAAATTTCAAAAAGTTAACGAAGGAAACAATAAAAAACATGCATACGCAGCACATGCACCTACATTATTCTCATCATGGGGCTTTAAATCGCTCAAGACACGTCGAGTCCTTGGACTAGCCATTTTTCTCCAGATTTTCTAGCTTGACTCTCCTTCTTCAGTTTGTCGCTGCAATAACAAGATGTTGACTATTTCTACGAGTATTGAGGTATTCTGTTAGTGAAATGATGATAAAAACTCGGTCATAATAATTATAATCTCTCGACAAAACTTCTCCAGCTGGCTGACGAAATTGACGGATGTAAGTAAGTTGTAGCCGTCGTAACGTATAGGTATACAAAGCGAGCACGCGGAGAAACTCCGAACCGAACTGACAGTGAACCTCTGACTCAAGACATGACTGAACCCCTTGATAAAAGTTTTGTTCGCTATTAAGTAGTCCCCTCACCCCCCAATGTTCTAAATGTTCTCTGATCTCTGCGATCTGCGATACTTTAATTATTGCTGTGTTGCACGTATATAAGTACACATGTATATATTATATTCCATATTCCATATGTAACCATATACAGATAGGTATACATATATTGTACATACTTTTGCCACGCATAGACGTCATATATATGTGTGGTCATATCAGGCATATGCAACTTGCATAAGATATGAAGCATTTAATTTTTTTGTTAGTTTTTAATAAATAGGTTTAACTTTTGGTCTGGACACTATACAGCTTCTAATGCATAGGTATAAAATAAGTATCTTACATGCATTGGTTAATATAGCGGTGTTTTTTATTTTGATTATAATATATTTATTATAACAAATAAAAACACTGCGAGTTTTCGTCTACTAATAATTACCAAACCGACTAATAATTAAGATTTTTATACAATACTTTAAGTGTTTAACTCACTTTTAGTTTAGGTTGTACAGTAATTCCGTAATTTTTGTATTCAATCAAATATTAAGTACCTAAACTTACTAGTCATTACAGTGTAATCGAGGTGTATTTCAAATAAAAAAAGTTTTTCCACAACGCTCAAGAATTAAATGTACTTAAATAAATTTTTTTAACTTTAAACACACTGATCAATTCTGAACATTAACATATTTTCAAAGTCAGGGTCAGGGTGTGTTCCGAAAGTCAAGCTCGTCACTTATCAGTAACTTAATTATGACAAAAGATTAATTAAGACTCACTTGAGCTATATACCAAATTAATGAGCTTGATTTTTCGGAACCCAGCCTCAATAACTTGACATGTCCAATTTTTACACACAAGTCAAACGTGCCCGCGGTCCACCATTGCCTGGTTGTCCACGAATCGGATCAATGGATTGACATTTTGATGTTTTGAACGGATAGCGCGCACTGCGCGCCGCGCAGTGCTGCCGCCACACACACACTGTCCACAGTTACGCGTTGTCACGTTGGCATTGCGTTTGCGTTCTCAAATCTCAATTAGTCTCAGTCAGTGACTCGTCGGATTTCATTGGGGTATCTACGTAGCCGTGCGCGTTGTCCCCCTTGCAGCAGTTGTTACTGTCCACAATTTTCTTTCTATTTAAATTGCCACTTGAATACGATTGAAACCGGTTAGTCAAACAACCCCTTTCTCCTATTATCTCCAGCCTAGTCGAGTTTAGACTCTGTGTGTCGATTTTAATTACACGTCTTACCCCCACGTTCTCCTGCATCTCTGCTCTTGAGGGCGTCACTTGCAATTTTTGCAGCTATATATTTCCAAGGAACACCTTTTATTTGTCGTATGTCCATCCAGAATCTAAACACTTTTGGTAAGTACTGATTCGCCATTAAAATACTAACTCCTTTGGGGCAAAAGTTTCATGCGATTCGGGTCGAAAAGCGAGAAAGGAGATATCCGCTTGGGGCTGGGCAGAAAGTTTAGGGATATCGCGCCTCAAGGACGTTAAATGTAAGCGTACACGGGTAGAGAGAGAGAAAGAGCATCGGTTGCTGCGTGTCCCTCTCGCATCAAAATGGCCGTGGCGTCTTCTCTCTTACACCATGCGACGCAACCGCGCGCAGGCCAGCTCTCTTGCACTGCTAGCAAGGCCATAACTTTCGAAAAGAAAAAAAAAAAAAAAAAAAAATTTTCATAAAATTAAAAAGAATTGTGGCCCAACCTCTTCTATCGCTCTTTGTATTTCCCCTTTTTCTCTCATCTCGAAGCACTTGTGGATATTTCCGTATGAAGTAAAGAAGCTGCGCGCTAGATTTCGACAGTACTTCTTGAAGAGGAAATTTTCACTTACACATGAGCTCATACCCCGCCCGCCCATCTATTAACATATTTATACGCTCCGTTTCGGTTTTTCCTTACCCTCGCACGCAAATCGCTTTCGGGTAATGTCAAGCCGAGGTGACGATTACCGACAATGACAAACGGATGCTCATACAATTACGCATATATTGGCTTATCATTGTCATAAAATTATGAACCCGTGAATCAAGCGTACCAATAACGTGTGATCGAGGAGGGAAAGGGTGAAAACGTTCGTCTTCGTCATATGGTACTCGGGGATGAGTAATTTCTTAACTTTTTTTTTTTTGCAGACCCCTTTGCAGATGCAAAGGTCAAAAACGGCAAAGAAGAGGATGTCCGGGACGGCCTCGTGCACATAAGAATCCAGCAGCGAAATGGTCGCAAAACTTTAACCACCGTTCAGGGCCTCTCGTCTGAATATGACTTGAAGAAAATTGTACGAGCATGTAAAAAGGTGAGCGATAAAGAGCCCTTGCTTTCCTTGTGTTTCCCTGTCCATAGCATACATACATTTTAACACCGTTGGGCTACCATTGCCCACTATAACTATGCCCATGCAAGATGTATCTTGAGTATTTTGTCCCGTTGTTTCTCGAATGAAGCGAGCGCTCCGTTCGCCTTCGAGGACAATTTTTCCAATCCGCCTTCACGCTGTTGCGCGATTAAAAATAGACGCTTGATAGATTGCAGGTTTCTTTGTGTGTGTATGTGTGCGCGAATAAATACATAATTCATGAGTTTTATATGCTACAAATTCTCGCAAACCTGTTACATTTTGATTACGTTAATTTAAAGTCGCTTAAGATCTTTCTCGCGTCGTTATTTCTGATGCGACTAATTTTTTTTATTTATATATAAATATATAT